CTAAACAACGGGTGTCAAACTGGTGGCCCTCAAGCTGTTGGCAAACTACAAGTCCCATGATGAAATGCAAGATTGAAAGTTACAAGCATGACTCCCAAAGGCAGAGGCATGATGGGATTTGTAGTTTCTTAACAGCTGGAGGGCCGCCAGTTTGATACCTGTGGTTTAGGGCATCAGGAAGAATAAAAACCTTTTCCGGAGAAGAAAAGGTGAGCTCTGCCATCAGTCCTGTGTCATGCCAACAGTAAAGCATTGTTTGACACCCCTGCCCTAAACAATCAGAAAGGGGATTCATCACAGAAAATGACTTTACCCCAGTCCTCAGCTGTTCCTTGTGCAGAATATCAGTCTGTTCCTGATGTTTTTCCTGGAGAGAAGTGGCTTCTTTGCTGCCCTTCTTGACACCAGGCCACCCTTCAAAAGTCTTCTCACTATGTGTACAGATGCACTCAAACCTCCCTGCTGCCATTCCTGAGCAAGCTCTGCACTGGTGGTGCCCTTATCCTGCAGCTGAATCCACTTCGGGAGACGGTCCTGGTGCTTGCTGGATTTTCTTGGACGCCCTGAAGCCTTCTTCAAAACAATTGAACCTCTCTCCTTGAAGTTCTTGATGATACAATAAATGGTTGGGTGCAATCTCAGTGGCAGCAATATCCTTGCCCGTGAATCCCTTTTTGTGCGAAGCAATGATGACTACGCGTTTCCTGGCAGGTAAATTAATATTTGAGTCATTCTCAAAACTTTTGGCGAGGACTGTACATTTGATAAGAGCTGATGTTAAGTCCAACACCAATGGCAGGCGTTATTGCACCCACTGACACCAATAGGAGGGAAATTACTGCTGCCACTGACACCTATGCTGGAGACTATTATTGCATCCCCTGACATCAATACAGGGGATTCATTTTACTGCCACCGACAACAATTACGGGGGTTAATTTTAAGACCAATGCTGGGATAATAAAGGGAGAAGATCCCTGTCCCTTTCTTCAGGGATGGACATGCTTTGCTGAACTGGGGCAAGACCAATTAATCTTAGAACCATGTTCTGGATTGGATAAAAAAAAAAAAAAAAAAAAAGTATGGCCAAAGCTTTTTTTTTTTTTTTTTTTTTTTTTTTTTTTTACCATACTCCTCTTACATTTATTTTTGTGACCGACGGTCACTACTCTCCACTTGGAGTAGACCAAGAACTGAGAGATTGGCAGTTATTATACAGGATTTATATAGCGCCAACAGTTTGCTCAGCGCTGTTATGTAATCACTTCTTTCTTTCTGAAACCAGATGGTTCAAATCTCAGCAGGGACTGGCTCAGATTCAATTCATGTATGGGCATGGCTGATCTCAACAAGCATGTCAACATTTTTAGGATGCGATAGCTAGCGGCTATTACCGCTAGCAATTATCACTGTTCTCCCCTCATCAACACAGAAAGAAAAAAAAATCACATCATCTATGGCCTGCCTTAGAGTTGGTGTGAGCAGGAAGGAGAGTATAGGTTTTTTTTTTTTTTTTGTTTTTTTTTTTTACACTACTCGTTAACCACTTCAAGTCCGGACACTTTTACCCCCTTCCTGTACAGGAAGCATTTTTTTGAGACAGATAAAACTTTATTTTGGTGGTATTTATTCACCACTGGGATTTTTATTTTTTGCTATATAAATGAAAGTCCATACATTTTGGAAAAAAAGGGTTTGTTATAAAATTTTGCAAATAAATAATCTTACATAAATCTTGGCCAAAATTTATCTTTTTAGTAAAAAAAAAACCCAAATTAGTTTATAACCAATTATATTTCAAAAATTTTTATATTTTTTTTAACATACTGTCACCCTAGCAGTACAGTGCCACTGTATTACTTGTGGGGGGTGATTTTTTTTTTTTCTTTTTTTACACGGATTGCTTTTATACCCATAAAGGCTGTAAAAGCAATCATTTCTCTTTCTCTCTGGCTGCATTCTTGCAGCCAGTGAGAAATACTGTGCGAGCTGTGATTGGTCACAGCTTGTCACATGGTACAAGGCTATTCACAACAGCCATGTATCATGTGACCTCTGTGATCATTCACAAATTTCACTAGTAGTAAGCAATGAGGTCAGAAGTGACATCTTGCTTACTACTATTCATGTGATCACTGATTGGCTAATCAGTGATCACATGATCGGGACCTCACACAGCGGTCCCGTACAGCGATCGGTGTTCGGACACAGTGGGCACTGGCTCACGGTGCCGCGCGCACAGGCTAAAATGGCAGGCGCCGTTTATGAACGGCAACCCACCCCTGCACTGCTCCCGTGCAGCCATTTAAATACATGGGCCGGACAGGAAGTGGTTAAAGGTAAGGCAGGTACTGAGCAGCCCTTCCACTCCAATGTAGGGACTTTGCAGCAAAGAAAATATAATCTAGGGCTTGCCCAAGGCAGCAGCAAACTGATGACCAGTCTTGCCTAGGCAACCACCAGTTGCAGGAAAGAAAATCAGTTAATTTCCCCCATCAACATAGTCCGTGTTTATGCAGGAATCTCACCCACAGCTCTATTGTGTTCTGCCAGGAAGGAGCCTTCGCTGCCGACAGAACACAATCAATTTGTAATGTACAGCGCTGAGCGAACTATTGGCGCTTTATAAATACTGTATAATAATAATAATAATCACTGCTGGTGGCTAAAGCCACCAACAATAAATTACATGCACAAAAAAAAAAAAAAAAAAAAAAACGCAACAGGCTGGTTGTACTGAATTTGACAAAAGGATCGACTTCAGTATAACCAGCCTGCCCCTAGTTGGATCAAAGCTCAGTCCAGGCCTCTTCTGAACCAGCTGAGATTCGATCCATTTATGGATGGGCTTTATTCTTCTCCACCCCAGCGATTAGACTAAAACTTAACACTGTAGTAGGGGTTATACTGTGTCAGAAATGTTCATACACAGCCATGACCTGCACCATACACCAGGATTTACATGATTGTATGGTCTCAGAATCAGTCCAGGAAGTGAATACTGACCCTATATCATACCTATACAAAAGACAACTCCACCCTTCGGCAGATAGAAGCAAAAAGGCAAATATTGACAAGGAGTACTGTGATCTGAGGGGCTCCTCACATCTGGAAATATTACAGTACAGAGAGATTAGCACACCTTGTGATTTCCAGCAACACAAAGCAAATTCCTGCAACTGGAATGGCAGGTGTGTGACTAACTGTCACCATCATCAGCCTGTCGTATTGCCAAGTGACCTATTTGTGACTATTCACAGCCACTGATGTGGCAGACATTTGCGCAATCGTGCCTAGACTCAAAAACAAAAGTCAACAACAGCTCTCAGTCACCATTTACAACTGGGAATTGGTGGGCAGAACTCCCGATCATGTGCTGAAAAAGCCAAAATGTCAGCAGTCCTATGATCAGGAACTCTTTTCAGAACCCTTTAACCACTTGCCTTCCAGAGGATTCCCCCCATTTCCTGACCAGGCCATTTTATGCAATGCAGCACTGTGTTAATTTAACTGACAATTGCACGGTCATGCAGCGCTGCACCCAAATGAAATTTGTCCTTTTCCCACAAATGGAGCTTTCTTTTGGTGGTATTTGATCGCCTGTGCTGTTATTTTTTTCGCTATAAGGAAAAAGAACGGTAATTGAGAAAAAAAATATATATTTGAGTTTTTGCTATTAAACATATCCAGTAGAAAAATCAAATTAAGTTATAATTTTTGTGTTGCCTAGGGCAGCACAAAACCTAAATACACCACTGGTAGGGGGGAAACTAACTTCCACTGACATCTCCAGTGACACTAATACAGTGGTCGGTGCAACTAAAAACCAGGAAGAGGTTAACATCTGGGGCAAAGCGTTAACTGTGTGCTGTTTTACAGTGTAAGCACACTGGCTTTGCATTGCTTTGCAGAGCATTACAAAGCAGCGCGCTGACAGGGGAGAGATCTGTATTGTTTACATACAGACCTCTCCCCAGTCAGTGATACTCGTCGATTGCCGGGTGCTTGCAGGGAATCTCCAGCCGGGACCGTGATCAACTGCTGAAGTCGCCAATGGCGGCGCGGATAGGTCAAGCGACCATTTCCTACCATGAAGTGCAAAATCACGTATACACACACGCATGAGTTTGTGCAGCCCTGCCACAGTATTTCTGCTATAGGGCAGTGGGCAAGCGGTTAAAGGGTCAGCAGAAGCTGGTGCCCAGGGGTTAATTACAACAGTTCCTCACAACAGCGACTCCAACCACCACTGAAAATAAACAAACAATACAAGCTTAGTTTGGTTCAATGGGTTTATTTTTTATTAACCTTAAACACAGTTTTATACTTTGCATCTAATGCACTTTAAAGTAGAACACTGGAAAAAAACAAAAAATGGGGAAAAAAAAAAATTCAGGTCACTCATCCAGAACCTTAAAAGTAGCTTTCTGAAATATATACAGGTGTGATGAACTTAATAGGTCTCCTCCGAGTATTGATGTGCTTTGTCCTGGGCACAAATACTTCCATTTAATCATTTACCTGGATCTTATTAGTGAATTTGAGAAGGTTTATAAAATGTATTAAAGAAGAAAATGTTAAACCAACCAGCTATTAGTCCATCATGCAATATAGGAAAACCAATGACAGAATTCATCTTTGTTACTCAAAAAAAAAAAAAAAAGTTTCCAAATACATTTGTGTCAACCACAGACAAGTAAAGCACTTTATTCTCAAACCTCTGTATGGTGTGCAGAAACCTCACACTCCAGGTATAGCAAAAATATTTTTATTTATAATTTACAGCCATGTGGAAATTCTTTTTTACAAACAGCTTATTGTACAAGGTCATTCTGCTATCTGCGCACATCCGTCAAAGTTACACATGAAACTGTGTCAGCATTATGGAAATACAAATACAAAAATGTATTTAGTAACAAAAAGAACTAGAGGCCCCGCCCCCAGCTCACATTTAGTAGACATTTCTAATCTACAAACAGAAAGTCTTATGGCAGCAGCTTCTACTCGGGATTGGTGGATTCCAATTTGATCTCTGTTAACAGAGGTATGCTTTCGCCCTTACTACAGGGTCTGTCCTCTGTAGGCTCTTCCTTGATTTTGAGTGCAACGTCGGTAGTGTCTGTGGCTTCTTCCTTAACCAAACTTAGCATGGCACTCAGTGGATTTTCCAGGAGTGCTTTACTTGGAGATGGTGTGGAGTCCAAGAAGGAAGAAGTCTAAAAGAAAAGAGCAAGAAAATGAACCAATTTCATACAGTCGCAGTATTTAGCACATATATAAACACGGGGTTGATCGGGTTGGGAAGTCTGCTATCCACACAAGTGAGGTGGATGGAGGAATCCTCCTTGCTGAGACACTGTATTCTGACAGAGGGACTCTTCCCCTGTTCAAATACATAGTTTGAAGGCTGCAGCCGCTGATTGAGATTTCCAAGTCTGTCCAACAGAAATCAATTCTTGAGATAGACATCTGTCAAGCGGGAGCAGCTAAACATGGATCGAAGTTTGTCCAGCCAGTTTGCTTAGCTGAGCCAGCCAAATTTCGATCCATTTATGGCCAGCTTTAAATTTATTTATTTCAGGTACATATACAGTGCTGTCAATTTACGCAGAGCTTTACATATATATTGTACATTCACATCAGTCCCTAACCCTCAAGGAGCGTACAATCGAAGGTCTCTAACTCACATTCATACATACACATACTAGGGACAATTTAGACAGGAGCCAATTAATCTACCAGCATGTCTTTGAGGTGTGGGAGGAAACCGGAGTACCCACGCAGGCACAGGGAGAACATGCAAACTCCAGGCAGGTGGTGCCGTGGTTGGGATTCGAACCAACAACCCTAGTACTGCCAGGCGGAAGTGCTAACCATTTAGTCACTGTGCTGCGCTTTACAGCAAGGCTAATGTCATCACTCCAGAGAAATACAGGCACATTGTGCCTCAAGACATCCCTAAACAGAACCACCAGACCATGCCAGCACAGATCAGCTTCTATATTTGGTGTGGTCAGTTAAGAGAAACGAATGGCAGAATTACAATATATCTGGTGAAAGGAGAAAATTATTAATGGACTACAATGATAAACATCCAAATGCACAAACACATTGATCCAATGTGTGGGTTCCCAATCATGTGATTGCTGACAGCCAATCACAATGAACACACTAGAAAGCCCATGTAATGCTTCCAGCATTATGATTTTAGCGGGCCACCAGAGGAGTCAGTATCAAAATCCCATCACTGCAGACTACAGATATCAAAGCAGTGTGCAAACATGGACTTTATAGGCACGGAACCTGACAACCAATGTTTATGAAATATACAGTAAATAGCTCATCATTGTAGGTCACAATAATAGATACCAGGCCAGCATGTATTATTGTGCCCTACAATGATGCACCATTTACTGTTATGCAGGATTGTGTATATACCCTTTAGTTTTAATCATTCCGTTGTAAAAGATTACATTTTATAAACATTGGTTGTGAGGTTACATGCCTATAAAGTCCATTTTGCACGCTTCTTTGATATCTATTGAGTCTAGGACATGGCACATATTGTAGCTTTTCAGTTTCAATAGTACCACCCTAGGGGAACACCTCTAACTACTGTAGACTAAAACCCATGGAGTTCTGCTTTCAGTATGCACTAACTGGAACCCAAATATAGGAGGGCATATACAGCACCAACAATTTGTGCAGCACTTTAACCTCTTGCCGCCGGATTCACGCAAATGTGCTGCCTCCCGGCATTTGGGCCTTGACGCCGAGCGGCCGCCGCGTACATTTGCATAAAAGAAAAACATGTGCAGAGAGCACGCGCCTCCAGAACACATGTCCGGTATTCAAGGAAAGGTCCCAATCTCCTCTTTCAATCAGTACCTTTCCCGATCATGTGACCGCCGTGATGGCAAATCACAGCGGTCACATGAACCTAAAAACCCCGCCAACTAAAACCCTTAAAGGGCCGTGAGGTGCCGGCACCAAGAGGTTAAACAAATAGGAGGCAATACCGTTACAAAACAAGTGACTTAGGCATGCCCTGCCTGTGAGATCTTATGAGGATTCAAGACCTCACTAAATACTTACATTTTTATAGTCTTCATAACAGGAAGGGTGATAAATCTGAAAAAAAAAACAGAAAAAAATCAAAACCATTTAGTATTAAAAGAAATAAAAAATCTGCTCTTAAAAGACTGCACTGTCGGCCCCTTCTTTCCCTTGTCCATTCACAGAATATAAAGCATTCTAATTTTACAAGCAGCAGATGCTGTGCAGGAGAGTTACACAAATCCTGAAGAGTGAAAATTACAGACAGCAATCCAGGAGGTGGCATTACACATCCAGAGATTTATCACCCGGTTTTCCCCTGGAGTTGTTCCTGAAAGTAAACCAAGGAATAACAAACTGGAAATGCACTTTGCAATGAGTACTTTTCAATCAACTGTCAGAACTGTCAACATGCCTTAGCTAAAAACATACTCGCACAATAAAGGGGAGAGCACTATATTTTATCTCTACATGCAGTCTATTATTGCAAAGAAAGATGCAGAAATTCACTTCCTTCCTCCAAGCAAAAAAAAAAAAAAAAAGGGAGCAAGGCAACTCAGGAGTGGAGTAACTACCACCTGATGTGCTAATTCACATGGCTCAGCAATCTGTTGCAGAGCAGCAGATTACTGATGGAAAGAGATATGGGGCTCATGTTGATGGGCATTCTGGTTAAACTCTGTAGCCATTTCTATTCAAGTGCAGCTCTGGTTTCACTTCACGCATGCTCCCAAATCAAAAGCACTTTGTTTGACAAGAAGATTTTGGGCTCTTTGGTCTGACGTTCAAAAAACAAAAAAAACACAAACCCCAATCACCCCCCCCCCCCCCAAACAAAAAAACAAGAAACAACCTATCCCTTCACCCTTCTTGCCTACATCGTTGTGATCTATGTAGAAATGCAGGACTATCCACAATCAGATCTGATTTCCAGTGTGTTAAAGTCTAGAGTACTCCAATGGTGGCCGTTAGTGATGTCATACCTTGTCATTTACACGCATAGCATTTTTCAGATGCCACTCCTCCTCTTCCTCATCCCAATACTGTTCAAACTGCTCCTGGCAGATTTCACAAATCTGAAGGATGAAGAACAAAAAACAGCATTAAGTTAATGGAACTTACATACCCCAATACCTGAACACAGTACCATGAAAACATCCGATATCACCAGAGGACTGTAAGAAAAAATTGAGGTGGACACTAAACACATGACAAAGAAATCAAAGTTCCACAGTGAAAAAATTATGATCATATAACTTCTCTACTACCGCAGCCCAGCAATGTTACCTCGTCAGCTCCAGCAGGACCAGCCGGAACACTCTGAAATTCTTTCTCCTTAGCAGCTTCCTGAGTTTTTAATATGACCTCTTCATGGACTTTCTCAAAAAACTGGCTTTTAGCCCTTTCCTCCAGATCTGCAATTTCCTCAAACTCTATCCAATCCTAGAAAAAAATAAAAAAAAAAATGGGAATGTCACACCTTTATCAAGCTCCAGTCAATGCAAGTCCTGTTCTTATTAGCAAAAAACTTTAACCACAAGTACATTCCTCCCATCTCAGAACAGAAATGCACCTAGTGGTGGCAGTAATGGGCTCCCCCATTGCATGTGAGAGCCCAGTAAAGGCAGTGGCGGCAGAATGGCGGGGCTCCTCTGTGCGCTGTGGAAGTGAGCAAGTAGCTGTATAGCTAGTCAGATTACTCCTACATGAAAGCTAATCGCTGGCTGAAATATTTGATACAGGCATCATCCTGGTATAACGGCTTCAACCTGGACACACTGGTATGTGGCCCTTTACGTGATTTTATCTGGCCCTTGGGGCACTATTCCTCCCCACTGACAAGGAGGCACCACTACTCCCACTGACACCAATAATGGGGTACTGTTCCTCCCACTGACACCAATAATGGGGTACTGTTCCTCCCACTGACACCAATAATGGGGTACTGTTCCTCCCACTGACACCAATAATGGGGTACTGTTCCTCCCACTGACACCAATGAGAGCAATATACTTCCTATTAACTGCAACAATGAGGCACGATTCCTTCCACTGACACCAACGATGGAGGACACCATTTCTCTCACTGGATACCAAGGATGGGGCACTATTTCTCCCACTGACAAAGCTGGGGCACCATTCCTCTCACCGATACCAATGAGGAGGCACTACTCTTCCCACTTAGATCAATGATGGGGCACGGTTCCTCCCCACTGACACCAATGAAGGGGCACCATTTACTCCCCAATTCAATAAATTGTAAACGCCCACTGCCACAGTCTGGCCCCTCACAATATTTCAGGACAGTAAACTGGCCCTTTTAGAAGGTTTGGAAACCCTTGCCCTAAGGGGTTGAAGTGGTTAGCAGAACTAAAACCATTGATTTAACATTTTCCTAAACCAATGCGCAATACTTTACTAAATCCTTAAACTGCACTGTTTTCTGCATAGTTTTCATTTACATTCTTCCTGCTAGTACATTCAAAGGCAAATTTCGGGTAATAACGGTCTATGTTATCAGTGTGCTTATGTCAGCTCTTTCAAGCAATCCAAACGTTGGTGTCACTGTTGGTCACATACAATACCAAAAGCAATGGAAGCGCTAAATACAGGCTAAAGGCTTGGTTCAAAGCAATGCAGTTGGCGGTTTGTCCATTTCTGCAGCGCTTTTTGCGGTGTTTGATGCATTTTGTGTTTATACTTTTATTTTGTTGGCCAACGTGTTGCTGGGCAGATTAATGCACCAAAAATGCATTTTCTGCAATGTCTCCATTGAAGTATACTGAACCAAAAACACTGTTTTGCATTTAAAAAAGTCTGACTTTCCAAAAACACAGCGGCTGAGAAATGCCTAGATGTGAACGTGTCCCATAGGAAACCATGTTAAATGGAATGTAGTGCATTTCTACAAAAAGCACTAAAAGATGTATAGATGTGAACCAGGACTTAGATGGCACCATTCTCAGCCAATAGGAGGGTTTAGTTCTGCTTTGAGTCACCTCTTCCATCTAAATCCTTGCCAAACCCTAGATCAGTGGTTCTCAACCTGGGGGTCGCGACCCCTTTGGGGTCCAAAAGGACACTTTCACAGGGGTCCCCTAAGACCATCAGAAAACACATTTCCGATGCGTAAAGAGCAGCTACTGTGTAGAGAGCAGCTACTGTGTTAAAAGCAGCAGTATTGGAGGTAAAACGACACTCATGAATTATAATTACTGGGTAAATAATTTTATGGTTGGGGGTCACCACAACATGAGGAACTGTATTAAAGGGTCGCGGCATTAGGAAGGTTGAGAACCACTGCCATAGATCAATACATTTTTTAAAGCATTTTTGACATTTCACTAGGAAGCTACCAAAGCCAAATTGTATCCAGAATATAACTTACTGTTAAGTTGTAATACCATCTCCTGTGTGTTATTTTCCTGCTCACATCTTTTTCTGTCCTGTTTTGCCGGTAATGCCAATCTAAATGGTCCGCATATACGTCGGTTTGTGACTTTGTAAACCTCATCCCACATGAATAGCACTGGATGCCAGTGTACAGGCGGGTTATAACACAGTCAAAGCGTCTGAAAAGAGAAATATCATTAACTACAAAACGGATCGACATTCACAGAGAGACTATTGCATTTCACACACCTGCAGTGTCTTGCAACTTTTTTTCCTTTAGAAAACAAAATATCCCATACTGAAAGCCATACTGCAGGTTATATACAAGTATCTGACTCCATGGGAAGATTTACCCTCATTTCATTTACCCCAATACATTTTTTTGTGAATCAAAATTGTGCCGTTTTATAGTGCCATTACATATTATTGAGTTTAAGATTCCAACTCATCCGTTTACATCCATTTGTTTTTTTTTTTCTAAAGAAAAATAGGGTTTTTTGTTTTTTTTTTTAACGGTTTTCTTCCATTAAAAAAAAATAGAAAAAAAAAAACATGTTAACAGATATGGACATTAACCTATGTAAACAGATAATCATCTGTTTACATCCGCTAGTCCATAGAAATACACAGGTGTCCTGTTTTCCATCAGTAAATGGACAAATGAAAAAAAAAAAAAAAAAAAAAAAAAAAAAAAAAGCAGGAACGCCCGTGTGAAAGAGGCCAAAAAATAAGCTGTGCAATAGCATCTCATTTCTGGCATGTCCGTTTCCCTTTAGATATAATCAATGCTTTCACAGTCATTACCAATACACCAATCTAAGTTAGACGTACTGTTTCATATCTTCTATGACAAAGCTGGTAAGATCAGGAATCTCGTGTTCTTCGACCGGTTCCTCTTCCTCCTCCTCAGTTGCAGGCTGACTGGGTGTCTCGGTTTCTAATGACAGAAATCAAAGATAAGACATTGAACCCAGTACAATCTTAAATCTCTAATTAATGTGGTTGTAAACCCTTACATATAACCAGTGAAGGGACTGGCCTCAAGTGACACAGAAATGAAACAAAACACATCTTGTACCCATTTATCAGTAGGCTTCTCTATATTCTGTGAAAGTGCAGAGTTTATAAAGCTTAACTGAGCGGTCAGGGAAAAAAAAAAAAAAAAAAAAAAAAAAAAAAAGGAGGGCACAGAGCAGATGTTCTATGCTGCAGAACTCAGTGAGAAGGAAGAAATGAAAGCTACCCTCTCCCCTTCCCAGAAACAGCACACAGGAACAGAATTAAGGCTGTCGATCAGCTGGAGGTCCCTCCCCCTCACCATTTTTCTGTTGGTGTAAGGAAAACTTGTCAGAAGTGATTCATGCAGACAGACGGACAAGGCAGCAGACAGAAATGACACCAAGTGCTCTGGATTGAGACAAGCACACACTATAGAGGGATATGCTTTGTTCATATTTCATGTCTGAGGTTTACAACCACTTTAAAAAGGATACGTTCACCTTTGGGAACGTTACACCAGTGTTTTAGGGTGGAACATGTAACATATTCCCATAGCCGCAATCGCCGCCACCCCCCCCCCCCCCCCCCCCCCCCCTATCCACAGATAGTACAGGGAGAAATCTCCCCGTACTGTCAGATTTGACAACAGCGCAGCTATGCAGGACTTCGCCCACGTCATTCATTAACAGATTTTCTGTGAATGAATGAACCGCAAGTCCCGACAGCCTTAGCAGCTGTCAGCTTGTAGTTTTCAATGAACTACCACAGCACTGTGGTAGTTCATGGATTCTTCCTGTCAATAGATCAGCGATCTACTCATCACTGGTGCAATGCTTTTCCAGGCTCCTGTAAGCAAAAAAATAAATGCACATTTAAACTTGCAAAATAATAAAAAGGTGAACTTATCCTTTAAAGCAGAATTAAAAAGTTGCTTATAAAAAGGGGGAAAAAAAAAAAAAAAAAAAAAAACGTTTTCTCCTACTTGGCATGTCATAGAGCTGGGTGTCAAACAACTAATCTCCTGTGAGCATGCTGCCCAAAAGCCTAAGAGGATCACCTTGGGACCCAGAAAAGTCAGCAGCAAAGATGGTGGCAGGGGATGTAGAAAAGACCAGGATCCTGGACCCATCAATGATGGGTCCGCACAGCAGGAGGTAGGCAAGTGCCATAACCTGTAAGATTTTGGTGTATACTTGTATATTACATCTAGCCCCCCTCCCCCATCAAGTTTACTTCCATTTTAACTATATTAAAGCTCTAGTTTGTACATTTATCAAACCAAGTAAAACAGCTTACCCTAATTTATTGGTAAATATAAAACATAACTCATAAATAAGCAAGCCTGTATGAAAAGAAAACCATGCCGGTTTGGGGGTGTCAATTTGGTTTTCTATGTTTTTATTATGAAATTCACGAGTCTAAATATTCATGCAAAGAAAAATGTTCCCTGTGTTTTATTCAAGTATGTCACATTTATCTGTAGGCATCGTTTGAAAGATCTAATGTTTGCCTGGTCTGAGAAAAAAAAAAAAATCAAATTTCTGTGAAGTGTACTCTCATATGCTAGTATAGTATATATTTGTTTACTGTTCCCTAGAGACTCTGATACTTGGCACACAGCAACAGAAATTATACAGAAGATCAGGCACACAATCCTAGACTGGTCTAGCCCCTATTTTTATTTAAATCAGCCCACCTAGATTTGGAACTTTAGGCATCAATGGAAGTGAGGAAAGAAATAGCAACTTATCCAGAGGCATGCAATGCATTTTGTAAACTTACGAGAGGAAGATGGCTCAGACTGCGACACTTTAAGGATTCCAGTTGAAAGCAGCTTTGAAAATAATTCATTAACATCCAACTGACCCAAGTGATTTTCAGGGTTAGGAAATGAGGCAGCTTTAAAAAAAAAAAAAAAAAAGAAAAAAAAAAAAAAAAAAAAAAAAAAAAAAAAAAAAAAAATTTACATTATGACACCTCAGAAATGGGACAAACCAAACATCACATGTCATATGCACAATTAGCCAGGCCACGATGACATTTCAAAAATCAGGCAAACCATCCACATGCAATACATATTTAGCAGGTAGAACAGCTAACATGTTTGTAAGAGGATTTCTCTTCAAAAACAGCAGCCTTGTTGGGTAGCACTGCCTATGACAGTCCCAACATAAAGCTTGCTCTGTAAAGGGCCTTGCTCACATCACACTTCATTGGGAATGTTGCAAGCATTCATTCATTGCAACATAATGGAATAAACTACAACACAGTTGGACTGTATTAGAAGAAAAAAAAAAAAAAAAAAAAAAAAAAAAACAGCAGTTTGCTGTACCAGCACATTAGCCCACACCATGTGACGATTCCACTGGTGTAAATTAGCCAAGGATAGTGTTCACATCTATGCTGTTTGTGGTTGACCCCGTTTCTGCACTGCATTTTTGTACCTGCATTTGCCAAAATATTATACAGGATTTATATAATGCCAACAGTTTGCTCAGCGCTTTACAGCGGGAGACAATACAGCAATACAGTTCAATACAAGAGGCATAGGAGGGCTCTGCTCCTTGAAGCTTACAATCTATTTTTTGTTGCCAAGCAAATTTAAAAATGCAAAAAAAAAAAAAAAAAACGCACTACAAGCTTTTCTGCAGCACTTCCATTGAAGTCTACAGAACCAAAAATGCTACTTTTTTTTAAAAAAAAGTACATGACCCTTTAAAAAAAAAAAAAAAAAAAAAAAAAAAAAAAAAAAAAAAAAAGGCACTGGGTGAAAACGTGGATGTGAACGTGTCCCATAGGAAATATTAAATGGACTGTAGTGCGTTTCCGGAAACCGCTTAGGGTTCAGAAAGGGCGGGGATTAGGTTTGAAAAAAAATAAAAAATTATAATATATATAAATTTTTTTCTCTTTTTAATACACAGTGCAAGCCACTTACTTGGTTGGTTCGGTATAAATGATCCAGGATTCTGTGCTTGTGCTGTGCCCATAATTGGCTCCTGATTAAAAGGTGTAGGTTGAGCCATAGCACCCATAGAAGGGAAACTGAAAAAGAAAAAATTATTCTTAAAAAAAACTGTACTGATAAATGTATACATCAGAAACATTGGCTTTGTTTTGACAGTCTGTAAAATTTAGCATATATTGCAACCTAGTTAGCTAAAAAAGTAACGTAAAAGAGACACTTAGTCAAAAAAACAGTTTAGGGACTACGGGATTTGTAATGTTCACACAGCAGTGCACAAGACAGCAACTAACATGTACTAATTGTTTCAAACAGGGAGGGGAGGGAAAAAAAACATTGGAAGCTCACAAGAGGACATTACAAGGAGGAGGCAGAGAAACACAATAAAAATTTGACGGGAAAAAAAAAAAAAAAAAAAAACCCCACACAACACAGCAGTGCTGGGGGTAGCCCAGGACAACAAATGCCTTCAGGGCTGTAAGTGGGAGCAGATCAAGGAACATTCATGTGTATGAAGCTGGAAGCGCACAGCTCTGAGTGTTCCCACATTCAGGGCCGTCATTCCGACTCCTGTGTGCAGGAAAGCAGCTAATCAGTCATGATCTGTGTATGCAAAATGGCAACAGCACCCCACAGCAGAGTGAACAATTCTAGCCTCCTCATTTATGGCCAACTCTAAACTGATGAGCTATAAACGCATTTACGGCACTACCTCATCTCTTAACTGATGCCTGGTCCCCTGCTATTGCTTAATGGTTTGATCTCGGCTCTTAAGACACTGTCTCTTATGATGAAGGGCCAACAGAAGAACCATTGTACAGTGGGGGGAGCACACAATATTCTCCAAGTGGCCGTTTCTTTTTAATACAGTAGGGATCAGCAGAGCAAGTGATGGGACAGTTTAGTAAAACTCTTTGTAAAGAATAACCATTTTTTACCAACATACCCTTTAATTTTCTAAATGGAGACAAAGTTTACACTAATTACTTACTGGAGGGTTTGGTGGCAGATTTGCAACAGGTAGGTTGAAGTTCCCAAAAGGAGGTGCCTGTGGATTTTTGTCATCGAAATAAGGTCCTGATGGTCTAGGGAGCTGGTTAGAAAAGATCTGCATTCCAGGAGCAGGGGGCCCAGTAAATCCCGGTCCTTGAGGCACATCATATCTTTGTTCAGGTCTTTGAAATTGCATACCTTGCGACTGTCCATGAAACACATTTTGGGGATCAGCAAAAGGAGCAGTCTGGACAAAGGGTGGAGGATTCTGTCCAATGGGTGGATTTATATTTTCAAATCGTGGTCCTTGGGGACCAATAGGCATATCAAATCTGGCCTGCTGATTGGGGCCATCAAATCGTTGTGGCATCGGTGCATCAAACCGAGGCTGCATGTGCACTGGGCCATCAAATCTAGGAGGAGTTTGATGTCCAGGAGGGCCATCAAATCTTGTGCATGGTTGTCCAGGAACACCTTCATATCTTGGCAAAAGGGGAGGATGATTTTCAAATCTATTCACAGGAACATTGTCAAATCGGGGCCCAGCCTGTCCCATAGGTCCATCAAACCTCAATAAACTTTGGGGACCAGGACCATGATCAAACCTGGGACCTTGACTTGCATCAAATCTTGGACCCTGAGGAGGGCCATCAAACCTTGTACCTGGAGGCCCATCAAACCTAGGACCTAGAGGCCCATCAAACCTAGGACCAGGTGGCCCATCAAACCTAGGACCAGGTGGCCCATCAAACCTAGGACCATGTGGTACTTCAAACCTCACATTGCCCATTGGTTGTCCAGCACCATCAAACATAACTGGCTGTGTCATTGGTTGCTCAAATCTCATGGGAGGAACCTGTGACCCCTCAAACCTCTGCTGGAGTAGCTGTGGCCTGGGCAGTCCTTCAAATCTTTGAGGTCCATCAAACCTTTGAGGCCCCGAATTGCTATCAAACCTCTGAGGTCCAGAATTGCCATCAAACCTTTGGGGCCCATCAAATCTTTGTGGGCTTACTCCATCAAATCTCTGAGGTCCTTCAAATCTTTGTGTGCCGTCAAATCGTTGAGGGCCATCAAAATTTTGTGGTGCAAGCCCGCCATCAAATCTTTGTGGTCCTGGTCCTATACCGCCTTCAAACCTCTGCGGTCCCACTGGCTGCACTCCATCAAATCGTGGTGGACCTATGGGTTGTCCAGGAATTCCATCAAACATCTGAGATCCCATTTGCTGTCCTTGTGGTCCATCAAATCTTGTTGAAACAAGAGGTGGACCTGGAGAAGCCTCTATTCTTTGACTGCATATCAGTGGATTAATAACCATTTGATTTTGCACACCTTCAAATCTTTGCAATGTCTGGCTCTGAGCGTTATTTGGTGGTCCAGAATTATCAAACCTTGGAGAATCAACTAAATTGCTTCCCATAGGGTCAAAGTCCATCGGTTGCCCTTTCAGGTTTTCGAAAAGTTGACCTGCAGCTTGATTTACTAAAGGACTATCAAATCTCTTGACTGGAGAACTCTCTCTACTGTCCATAATGTCCATGTCTTCAAAACCCTGACTGCCAGCATCTTCACCTCTATTAGGCAACAGTGTTGGAAGTTCATGCAGTGGTCTTCTCTCCTCAAGTAAACCAACATGTTTTGAACTCTCTTTGCTGACTAGGTCTGTACTGTCTACAAAAGGCACCTGTTCTTTTTCATCATATCTGGATGTTTTGAGAGTATATTGTTCACTGTATAATGTCCATGATTCATCTCTTAAACCTACAGAAGAGGTGAAAAAAAAACAAACATTTAAGACAGAAAAAAATGGAAATAAAAAAATGCAAGCAAGATGACAAAATGTTTAAAATTAAATGCAAGCTCATATCAAGTGTCACCTGGACTCCAAGACGCAGCATTTCTTGCTCTATTATATACTCCCTACCTTGTTCCCACCCCTTTCCCTTCTGTTTAGCATACATTCACCACAGAGTATGCCATTCCATATATTGCTAGTACCATTGGATCCTATTATATTCCAAGGATTATTCATCTTAATGATGGTTTTTTTCTTTTGGATAGGCTTCAATACTACCATGTCTATTGAATCTGGTTATTACCGTGCTGATTTTCAGGTCATTACCATTATACTAGACACGACTGCCTTTTCAGTACATTACTTTGTATTTTGTCAACCATTATGACCCAACTAACTTTTGCTACATAAAAGGAACTACCAAAAAAAAAAAAAAAAAAGCTAAATCTAAGCATACCTTTGAGCAGTTCTCGATCATCAGGTCTCCTATGATCTTCTCGAGGGAGGTCTTCCTCAAGCAGAAGCGTTTGAGGCATAGGGGAATGACAATGCACTCGTTCTGGAAACGGATCATTTATTTCAGACAAGCTGCTGGACATTCTTTCATTGAGCTCTTCTTCTCTACCAATAGAGGCCATTTCATCCATGGCTAAATCAGGTAAATCCATAAAGTCTTGTTCCATAAAATTATGCTGTACCTGAGTTCTCCTAAGCTTGGCTTTATGCTGGTAGTAAGTCAGCTCTGCACTAGAAAGAAGGGGTGTTTTGCGCACTCCACCTTTGCTTGATTCTTCAGTAGGGCTGCTGTACACACATCTGTGTTTATCCTCTTGGTACTGAAAAAGCTGCCTAATTTGATGCGCTACAACAAGGAATTCATCTTGTGTAATTTCACCAGATGCCAAGCGTTCATTAGCCTTAAAAAAAAAAAAAATTAAATTAAAAAAACACCCTCAGAAAAAAAAAAAAACTACGAGATCCAGACAGCAAAATAAGCTATTAAGTTATAATAGTCAAGAATGGGGGAATACAAAAACAATACAGAATCTGGTGCAGCAGTGCATGGTAGCCAATCTCCTAACCTGTTTGTTCAATTAACGTGTTACTAAACCCACAACAGTAAATCAATCTGTATATGCAGTAAAGCATACTGGTCACATTCACTGTGGAACCTAAGGGGTTAATCCTACACATTCTGTAAAATGAATGTTTGATTTTGTCTTCTCTGATACTCCCCTTCTAACTGTCCCCAATCCATCTGCTGATAGAACAGAGCCTTGGGGGCAAGATAAACCTGCTCAGTTTGGTGAATGGCTAGTTTTTTTTTTCTTGGGAGAGTGCATGTAATCAGCACAGGGCCAGAGGATCAGGGGTCCTGCAGTCTCATAGGACAGTCAGGGAAGGATGAAAACTCCTACAAGCTTTAACCAGTGCTCTGCTGGACACTGACAGAAGTCACAAGACTACTCTAACTGCTGATGAGAAAAGGTATTTAGCAATTTATATTTACTAAAATATTTGCAATTCCATATTTTGTGTACTGTGGGAGACCAGATCTAATGAATACAGGGTCTTGGGTTTAATAACATTTTTAAGCCTTAGCAATAAAACCTGGAAGTTGATTGGTTTCTATGCACCTAATTTTGTACTCTCCCATTTTAGTAAATAACCTCCACTGTGTTTTATTCTTTCCTGATCAAAAGGCCTTTATATGCATTTTTTTTATAGGCTGAGAATAAAAATTTTTTTACATTACAATCATTACACTGAATTACAATTGAATATGAGAATTAGACCTCATGCACAGTGACATTGTTTTTTCAACTCCCCTAGAAGCCTCCTCCTGGCAGAAGCATTTTGTTCAATAAAAAAAAAAGTCTAATGCTTGCTCGTGTGTAGCACATTTACCCGCATCCAGCATTTGGGAGTTTTTTTTTTGGCTGGAATAAATCATTTATTCTAGCAATTGAAAAAAAATTAATGTTCAAGTGCTAAACGCACCTAGTGTTTCGGTGTGTTTAAGCATGTCATGCGATTTTTTTTTTTCTGCCCAGTGTCTGGGTGCATTTAAGTAAGTCAATCGTTTAGGACACACTGGCAGTGGGGTTTTTTCCCCTGGCACAGAAACGCTGCTAAAAACCCATGTGTGCATGGACACAGGACAACATGCAGGGAAAAGGCAGGAAGAAAAAAAAAAAAAAAAAAAAAAAAAAAAAAACACAGCCCCCCCATGCCCCTAGAAGTAGCTTCAAAAACCGTCCAGTGTGCATGAGGCCTTATAGTAAACAGATGAACACCACTGACTTTTGGCTGCAGTGGGATCTGCAGACTGAAGGCGTGTTTTGTCATGAAAACCTCCAGGCTGCATGTGATAACTGTTTTAGCTGACAGTGACTAAGTTTAACTGGGAACAGATATCAGCGACGGCCATGCAAAGTGTCTGCATGTGGCTTTTAAAGGAAGGAAATTAAAATCCCAGCACAGAACATTGTGCTGGGGAATGTTAAATACTGTACACAGAACACAGGCAGGAAAATGGCTGACTATTGAACTAAAAGTGATCTAGCAGCGATAGGATGCACCAAGCACTTAATGTCTGGAAAAGCATGCTTGCATTTATAGGGCATACGTTTTTCCATGAGGTATTAAAATAAAAAGATCTTTGATAACTGTGCGTGTTGATTTGACACTTACCTTCTCAAGCAGTTCTCCCTTGCTTGCACTTGTTAACTCTTTTGGGATTTTTAGGTTTGCATCCACACTTAACCACGGTTGTTGCTTGGGAGTGCGGGGAGAAAGTATTCCTTTACTATTAGGCCAGCTGTCCCGATGTCTTTGATAAGCAGTTCTATTACCATGGTGGTGTTCATCATTCTGAGGACTATAACAGATACAAAAGAAACCAGTCAAAAAAGCTACATGTAAATTACGGTAGCTTTTAAAGCAAACCTGTCTTGAGTACATATGAGGGGAGGGGTGTCTGCCATTGCCAGCCACTAAAAAATACAAGTTACATGACCAACTCTGGCTTCAATACTCTGAGCCTATGACCTGCAACGAGTGTAGAGGAGTCAGAATTTCTGTAAACTGCCTCAAAAGAGCCTAGATCATGACTATCAGGCATTTTTAAAAGTCGGCAGTGGCAAAACTCATATTCTGAGTACAGGTTCCTCAGTAAACAAAATAAATGTATAAAAATATAACATAGGGTGCGCACACTCACTTCTTGCCTTCTTCCCATCCAGGTCGCCATCTTTTGCCCATCTTCGATCCTTGCCAATTCTCCACATTTTCTTTTGGCTCTGAACCAGATTTACCAAATACTGCTGTTGCTGCATCTTGTTGCCTTTCCTCCGAGGGCCTCTTCTGCCGTTCCTCTGAGGGTCTTTTCTGCCGCTCCTCCGAGGGCCTTTTTTGCCTCCGGCTATCTCTAGGATCTAGTTTGGGAATCCTTTTACTTCTGTCATCTCTTGCACTTGCTAGAAAGTCACTTGTATGAGGTGGTTTACTTCCAGGTAGGCGCAGCTTGCTGTTTTTGGGAACGGAAGGAATAGGAGAGCGACTCCTTTGAGGAATCGGAGATTGGCTTCTTTGCCTTCTCTTTAAAGGAGAGCGCCTGTCTCTTCTGGACTTAGGAGAACGTGACCGGGACCTTTTTCGATTACTATTTCTCCCAGGTTTTTGGTGTAGCTTGTCCGTGTCATTAGCACCCAAATCATTTTTCGGCACAATACCATTCACAGTCTTATTCCGATTTCCAGATGGTCGATGTTCAGAGGATTTGTGGTCCTCCTTTTTCTCTGTGCTTTTTCGTTTTTCCTTAATTTCTTCTGGTTTATCATCAGATTTGTCCCTCATGTGTTTGCGTAACCTCGGATCACGTCTACCTGCATCAGAATCTTTGACACCATCTGCAACTGGCGGCTTGCCATCTTTTGCATGCAGTAACTTAGGCATCAGTGGTGAGGGTGATTTTGACTTACATTTAAGATCTAAGGGTACAGGATCCTTTTTAGGTATCTTTTCCGCTGACTTATTTTTTTCTTGCTTAGAAGACAAGTTAGTTTTGTCTGATGGCACAGATTTTAGGGGTTTTGAATCTGGTGGTGCAATTGTATTGGTCTTCATTTCCTTTTTATGGGGTTGATCCTTTGTATGTGATGAATGCTGGTTTCCCCTGTTTAGTCTAGGGTCTCTGGTTGATACTGGAGGAGCCTTGTCAGACTGAGAGGGCACAGGAACCTTGTTCTTCTCAGGCAGCGTAGTAGAAGTAGGTTGCACAGTCTTAGCAGGCATGTGTGGAATTTCTGGGATTACATTAGGCTTTGCAGGCACTGAACTGACACTGTTTGCCTATAAGACAAACAAACATTAAATGAAGGAAAAATGAAAAATGTAAAAAAAAAAAAAAAAAAAAAAAAAAAAAAAAAAAAAAAGAAGGGCAGGGCACCAAGAGTACTGGAGTATATGCAAAACTCAACTCAATCAACAATCATTTAAAAAAAGTGCTACCCTGTTCATAAGTCTCACAGGTAAATGGTTATTGATGTAAAAGATACATTGTAAAATTGTAGAAAAAAAAAAAAAAAAAAGTAAAGTAAATATGATATACGTTCCAATCTCTATTTACTAATGCTAGCAGCATAGGGATTAAAACGTTGATTGAGAGTGAAATTCCACTTTAATGTGCTTCTGACTCACTCCTTTTAAGATGCAACACCCTTAACTTCTGCATGCCATACATGGTTCCAATTCCGAATGATTTTTGGTCCGAAAATCGAAACATTCGTTCTGTAATCCGATGGTGCCACCAATGATTTCGAAAATCAGGTCGTTTCTCACACATTTTCCAGCATGCCCGTTAACCGAAATGGGGAGGAACCATGAAGATTGGCTGATGCCATTGCCCCACTAACAGTGAAAATCAGCCGATTATTCTTGGGTCCAATTTAAGTACAAAAATCGTTCGGAATTGGAACCATGGCCTGCATGAGACAAACTAATGTATTTTCAATGTATACATTAGTCATTACACTGCCAAAAAAAATAACTTCATATGTTGTAGTGCCTGAAAAATATTAGAGTACCCAATATAAAACAGCTGAAGATGGGCATAAACTGGGAGCTGAGCAAACATTTAAAGCCTGTAACCTTGCTGACATTTTGATTTTGCCCACTTACACTTCACAGTTCCTTATAGCTGAACCATGAACACCACTAGAAATTCTGAAGGACCCTCTGCACACTGGTATATACCCTTTCAAGCAAACTATGCAATAAATGGGGATATTTAGTTCATACATATTGCAACACATGCTTAAGCTGGCCAACTGCGTCAAAGTAATCCCTCTATGGCCAGTCCAGTTCAGAATTTCTAGTGTTAATATGTGGTTACACCCCTTTAGCACCTGATGGATAAATGCATGCACTAGCTTCATGGATTTGAGCACAGGGATCTCTTGTTTGATGAACACCACTATGGCACATCCTACAACTATATGTAGATATATACAAGTGTATATGTTTTGCTGTGACAGTTTGCCCCATTTTCATTCTCAGACTCATTACAAAGTTCCAAAAGTACGGTATAGTATGCATCTTACCGGACAAAGTAAAGGATTTACTGTGAAAAAATAAAAATTGGTTTAAGACTCAATATACGAGGCTGAGCTCCATTCTGTCTCTCTCAGTGACACAAGTGGCTTGCTCTGGGGGCACTTTGTACACTGGAAAAGCCAGGAGCGCCAGCGGGGGACTCGAGAAGGACTGCTCTGTGCAAAACCCTTGACAGAATAGGCAAGTATAATTTTTTTTTTATTAATAAAAGTCTTAAAAAAGCACTAACAGTTATTTGCATTTACATGGATTCAACCATGTTACTCTGGAAGCAATTACATGAACGTGTAAACATGACTTACCAGTTGCGCCTTTGTCTGCTCTAATTCTAACTCCAACTTCTTTTGCTGAAGCTCTAACAACTGTTTTTGCTTCATAAGTAACTGCTGTCTTATAAGCTGTTCTTGTGAAAGATGAGCCTTTGGTGCTTCAGTTTTAATAGGGCGAGATTGGACAAGTTTTGGCACCGATATAGCAGGTGGTGTAGATTCCTCTGGCTATTGAAAAGAATAAAAGGTGGGCTTTAAAAACAAACATGTTGCTAAATTGCAACAACTATTGAAAGAGGTTTAATATCAAGATTAAAAACACAAGAGTTATTTAAACACCACTTTTATTAAGCACCATTTCACAGAAAACCTGAAAACGATCAAGTTATCCTTTGGAGGACTAAGATAAGCAGAGAAATAATTGTGTCAGCAAGGGAGTGCTGGCAAAATTATACACTTTGTATTTAGAAGAAAAATGCACATCTAAAATACTTACTTTGTTCAAGAATTTAGGATTCACATGGATGCTAGATGTGTTCACATTAGGGGGTAAAGGCTTGACAGGCCATGCTGGGTCTACCTGGTTGACCCTCACATCAAGTGCATATAATTTCTTTGAAGTAAAAATGTCTTCCCACGTGGAACGCAACTTATACAAACTTTTTCTAGTGTTTTCATCCACCTGGAAATGACAGAACAAGTTTTTGCGTCTTGACAGCTCATCCAACTGCATCCTGCATAGGCATTTAAAGTCAAATTTACATAACAAAATTGGCTGCTGAAGCAGCTGAGTGATCGATTTTAAAAATGTCGCAAACAGGGCCCGACTTTACTAGAAGTGCATACATTTGGCATATGGCACATGCACAATCATGTTTGCTGTAAATCTAAAGGCAGATGCTTTCAAATGTTTTTATTGCAATTTTCCTGCTTTTGGCATGTGCTAAAAGAAAAAGAGAAAAAAAAACACACAGAAATGCATGCATTTTAACACACAGCAACATGAATGGACCTGAACTAGTCATATCAAGGTAGATTCTATACTGAAAACAGCTGAAATGTAAAGAAACATTAGTAAATTATCTTACAGAGAACAAACGCTGAACATTCACAAAAGTTTTTCATTGAGGCAGGATAAAGCCAGGCCCTTAAACTAGCCTGCCAGGAAACTTTCTGTGATGTTTCTAAATTAAAGCCCAACTCCCAAGAAAACTGAAAATTCTAACTGCTCATTTATTCTAGTAAAAGTACTTACCCGGCAGACGGTGCACCATTCCTCCGCATCATTACGTCCAATGCAGTGCTGTGAACCTTGCATTGGTCTTGACATCAGGACCTTAGACTGCTAGAGAATTGGGGGAGAAGATGCTGCGGGGGGTTGCTCTAGCAGTGCGGAGGACTGGCTAAGTACATTTCTATGTCCCCTAGAACTAAACAAGCAGTTAACCCTCTCAATGTGGGCACAACCACACTGCGAGAATTTAAGTTAGTCTCCAGGAGCTGAGCTTTGATTCCTTTCCATAATTCTAAATCCAGAGTTTGTTCAGATTTTTGTTCTCAGGTCAGATATTCAGGACCTGCTAGGACACAAATGCCAAAACAAGCTATACTCAACTTTGCGTACTGAGTTTCAAAAAAAAAAAAAAAAAAAGTTTATATTCTGCCCATATTCTACCTTGGATATTTTCATACAGCAGAAAATCTAAAAAAAGGAACATCTCATTGGTTGATACGGAGATCAAAAATAATTATTTTCAAACATTTAGGCCTCATTCATGCAGGTCACCTGCATTTATTTTATTTAACGCAAGAGAAAATTATCTGGAAACATAAATGTTATACTTCCCAGATCGCTTTCTCCTGCACTCAGTTTACTAGGGCTGTAACGATACCGAGCATTTGCACCAGTACTTATACTCGTGCAAATGTTCTGATACCTAAACGGATACCATTGCAGTGCGATTTGAGCCCATACAAAACAAATTAGCTCAAATCACACTGCAAAGAATCAAATGCGATTTGAACAGGAATGCGGTGCGATCCCTGTCCAAAACACATGTGGTTTCTCCCACTGCTCCTGTGTTACCCACGCTTGTCAATGACTTCAGCCTGGGTTCACACAGGCGTGGTGCAGGAAACCGCACGTGAATCAGACAGGAATTGCATTGCATTCCTGTTCAAATCATATGCAATTCTTTGCAGTGCGATTTGAGCCCATTCATTTTGTATGGACTCAAATGGCATTGTAAATCGGCGAGAACGTAAAAGATAAATTCACCTCTCTTTCACCTTTCAGATCAGACCGTCCCCCACTTTCACAGCTAGCGGGGGGGGGGGGGGTTGGGGGGGTGAGAATCTTCTCTCCCCTCGTTAGCTAAC